ATGTTCCAAACGTCTGAGGAGAAACAAGTCCACAAATGTTTAATGTTCCAAACGTCTGAGGAGAACCGGAGTCCATGAACGTTAAATGTTCCGAAGGTCTGAGGAGAACCGAGTCCACGAACATTTAATGTTCCAAATGTCTCAGAAGAACTGGAGTCCACAAATGTTTAATGTTCCAAACGTCTGAGGAGAACCGGAGTCCATGAACGTTAAATGTTCTGAAGGTCTGAGGAGAACCAGAGTCCACAAATAGTTAATGTTCCTATAGTCTAAGGACAACTGGAGTGCACAAACAATTAATGTTCCAAAGGTCTGAGGAGAACTGGAGTCCACGAACATTTAATGTTCTAAACCTCTGAGGAGAACCGGAGTACACAAATGTTTCATGTTCCAAACATCCGAGGAGAACCGAGTCCACGAACATTTAATGTTCTAAACATCTGAGGAGAACCGGAGTCCACGAATGTTTATTGTTCCAAATGTCTGAGGAGAACAGGAGTCCACAAATGTTTGATGTTCCAAACATCTGAGGAGAACCGGAGTCCACGAATATTTAATGTTCCAAATATCTGAGGAGAACCGAGTCCACAAACATTTAATATTCCAAACCTCTGAGGAGAACCGGGGTCCACAAATGTTTAATGTTTCGAAGGTCTGAGGAGAACCAGAGTCCACAAATAGTTAATGTTCCTATAATCTAAGGACAACTGGAGCGCACAAACAATTAATGTTCCAAAGGTCTGAGGAGAACCGGAGTCCACGGACATTTAAAGTTCCAAATGTCTCAGAAGAACTGGAGTCCACAAATGTTTAATGTTCCATACGTCTTAGGAGAACCAGAGTCCATGAACGTTTAATGTTCCGAAGGTCTGAGGAGAACCGGACTCCACAAACAGTTAATGTTCCTATAATCTAACGAGGACTTCAGTCCATAAGTATTTAATGTTTCAATTGTCTGAAGAGAACAGCAGTCTTAAAAGGTCTGTAAGACGTCCGTCCATGGCGCTGTTTCGGTTCTTTTCCTTCCCAGGTGGCCAGGAAACTCACACAAACTCAATAAAATCAAGAGAGGTACATTCTTTTTACCTTTCAATGTAACTAAGGGGCGCAACTGGTAGAGCTGCTGCCTCTCAGCGAGCAGGTCCCTGGTTCAAACCCCGGTCCAGGGGCCTTTCTGGGTGGAGTTTGCATGTTCTCTCCGTGCATGCGTGGGTTTTCTCCGGGGACTCCGGTTTCCTCCCACAGAACAAAAACATGCATGTTAGGCTGATTGGTAACTCTAAATTGTCCCTAGGTGTGAGTGAGAGAGTGAATGGTTGTTTGTCTCGTTTGTCTCTATGTGGCCCTGTGATGGACTTGCAACCCATCCAGGGTGTACCCCGCCCCTCGCACAGTGATTGCTGGACACGGGCACCAGCGACCCCCGTGACCCAAAATGGAATAAGCGGGTAAGGAAAATGGATGGATGGATGTAACTAAGGAAGGAAAAAATACAAGCTCAGCGCTGAGACGTCCGTCCAACCCGTCGCAACCCGGAACTGGAGGCCCTGTGTATCAGAACGCCCCAGCTTATGTCGGCCCTTGGCTCCGCCTCCACATCTGGGCAGGTACAGCCTATCAGAGTGTGTCAGTGGGGTGACTATCAGAGTGCGTCAGTGGGTTGACTATCAGAGTGCGTCAGTGGGTTGACTATCAGAGTGCGTCAGTGGGTTGACTATCAGAGTGCGTCAGTGGGGTGACTATCAGAGTGCGTCAGTGGGGTGACTGTCAGTGCGTCAGTGGGGTGACTGTCAGTGCGTCAGTGGGGTGACTGTCAGTGCGTCAGTGGGGTGACTGTCAGTGCGTCAGTGGGGTGACTGTCAGTGCGTCAGTGGGGTGACTATCAGTGCGTCAGTGGGGTGACTATCAGTGAGTCAGTGGGGTGATTATCAGAGTGCGTCAGTGGGGTGATTATCAGAGTGCGTCAGTGGGGTGACTATAAGAATGCGTCAGTGGGTTGACTATAAGAGTGCGTCAGTGGGTTGGCTATCAGTGTGTCAGTGGGTTGACTATCAGAGCGCATCAGTGGGTTGACTATCAGAGTCAGAGTTTCTTTATTGTCATTCGCACCTCATGTGGTACATGTGGTGGAGCGAAATTATGTACACGGGGTCCCAGTTAC